ACCAAGTTTCGGGTACGGAAAAGCACCTCTTCATGCAAGAAATTGAGGCTATATAAATAACTAAACTATTTATCTGGTGATCTGGGGGTATTAAGCCGGCACTGGGAGTAGTTCTGGGGCTTGAGTCAGGTGGAGCGTGGACGTTGCTCAATATGAAAGGATGAATGAAGGAAAGCGCTTTATCAAAGCAAGAACTGTTAAATTGACCCTGAATTGGAAACTAATGAGCTTGAAAGCTGATTAGGGGGTTTGCTGTTGTGCAAAAACGGCTCACATCCTCGTGGGAAGACCAAGTTAGCACGAAGAAATGGCAGCAGGCTGTTTGCTGCAGCCAGCAAGAGAGGTAAAAGGCTTAAACCGAATGAATGATTCAAAGAGATGGCAGAGCCTGCTTTTTAACAGTGGACATACTGATGTACTGGAGTAAATAACTGCTGGGGGATAGGAAGTCTCCATCCTTAATGATTTTAAGAACAACTTGGGGTGGGTGACAAATGTCCCATCCTATTGTCTTTAAATCCATCGGAGATAAAATTAGGTATCACTAATTGTCCTCAAGCTGGTTTTAGGAAAAAAAAAAAAGGGGGGGGGGGGGGGGGGCAGGGGGAGACAATTCATTCAAGTCACCTCTTCTCAAGCAGCTGCTGAAATGAGTGTGGAAATCCAAGGAGAGATTTCCAAAACTTCCATCAGAGGCCTCTGCTGTACTTGGGCTGATCTCCTGCAGCCCTCTCCCACTATTTTAACAAGCGCACTTGGATCTCTGCCACGCTTTGCTGTCCAGAGCACACCTGAAACTGGGACCGTTTCACGCATGTGCATAAATGAACAAGGGGCCAATAACTTCACAGACCTACAACAAAACATTAAAGACAGCTCGCCCCCAGCGAGGGCTGCACGGCCCCGCGCCCTACGCTTGCCTACACAGCCGGGATTCCTACCTAGGGCAAGCGAACAACCCAACAGCTTTTGCTTACGTGAACACACGCGGCCTTTCTCTTCTCCTCAGCTCCTGTCTTCCAAAAAAACAGAGCAAAAATTACTGAGTTAATGGTAGGGGGTTTGTTCTCTTCTTGATTTATTGTACAGCTCTAATATATTTTATTCATATACTGACAAAGAGCAAATTACCAGGTTTCCTTCTAGAAAATGTTATAAGGCACTAATCTATTGCAGAGTACTCCAGAACAAACTATTTTACGACATTTCCGTGAAGGTCAGCATTGCGTCCCTCTCACTTAGCACGAACAAAATGTACAAAGCACCTTTAAACCGGGACTTGGGTCTTTTTGTACATTGAAGCTGATTTTTCAGGAGAATTCAGCACTCCGTACAGAACTTGCCGTGGATCACGGGGCTCCTGGACCACACAACTTCATATCTTGCCATAACATGGTTGCCTACCGTATCAGTTCTTTTCTATTTCTGAATTAATGGAGTTGCCTTTTAAAAGGAGTTGTCCTTTATCCCTCCCTTCCTGCCACACTGTTCTCATGGTGAAAAGAAACAAACTTCTTCCAACTTCCAGGCTGAAATGATTCATTGTTCATGTAGAAAAATCTGTTCTTATGCCAGTATTGTCTTGATTACCTCTCTCCCACACTGCTGCTCACGCTGCCGTGCACTGCTGTCCCCTTTCGACCTTGGCTTTGATGCTAAATAAACCACACAGCTTAGTCTTCGCCAAGACAGAGGGCTGTTCTTTCACTTGACATTTCTCCGTAGCTATTCAAAGTCTGAATTCGTCCCCCTGGGGACTTGGGTGACTCGGACGGAGAACTCGTGAGAAGGGCAGATGAACAACTGGCTGCTCGCCCGGGGGTTCGGAGTCTCCCCCTGAGCCACCGGTGCTCCCCGGCCAGGCACGCCCGCACGCTGCTGACTGCTGCAGAGCCAACTCCAACATACCAAATACGCCACTCAGCTGCTGGCAGCCCCATACGGGCTTTCTCTTCAGAAAATCTCACTTATTTGTCTAACGGATAGCCTGGCGCCAGGGACTGAGCCCAGTTCCCCTAAGAGCTTTTGAATACCTCAGCCATGAGACACTGCCCCCATCCTTTCTCCTCCTTCAGTCTCCTACCGGATCCCTGTGCGGTTTCTAAATTCTGCCGCAGACCAGGCAATGCTCGCGATGCCCGACGCGTCGCGCAACCCGTCCCTGCCCCAGGCGGGCCCAACCTTGTGCGTTGACCAAGTGCTGCAGAGGAGAAAAAACCCAGCCACTCGTGATAGATGACTGTCAAGGAGCGTGAAAGGGGAGGCAGCAGATTTCCTTCAGTGCTTGACTTTTCAGCACAGACACGGGACGTCGCCGGGACAGCGTGAGAGGTTTCCTGGCCTTTTTTTTTTAAAAAGCTCGCACTGAAAACAATGGATGTCAGTGATACACACGTGAGTCACTGCTAGAACTGGCACTTCTAAATCCAGCATGCAAACAGCTGTCACTTCAACCAAGGCCACAGGCAAGGACAAACTCTAGACCCCTCCGGCCTGGCGGCTGGTGGCGAGGGCCGCTGCAGAAGGGAGCTCCAAGGCACTCCCAAACGCACCTCGGGCAAAGGCGGCTGGATGAGACACCTCCCGCATCGCCCCCTGTCCTCACAGGCTGAGCCTGCCAGCATCAGGCGGCCGGGGAGGACCCTGGCTTTACGAGTTTAAACTTTACAACTTCAGTGTTGCAGGAGAGCGGCGATTCCCATGCCTCCCACCCCGATGCTGCTGGGAGAGCTGTGGGGCGGTTAATGAATTCCTGAAGAGAAGAGAAAGGAGAAGAGAGGGGAGAGAGGAGAGGGAGGGGAGGGGAGGGGAGGGGAGGGGAGGGGAGGGGAGGGGAGGGGAGGGGAGGGGAGGGGAGGGGAGGGGAGGGGAGGGGAGGGGAGGGGAGGGGAGGGGAGAGGGAAGGGGAGGGGAGAGGGAAGGGAAGGGAAGGGGAGAGGAGTGGAGAAGGGAAGAGAAGAGAAGAGAAAAGAAGAGGAAGAGAAGAGAAGAGAAGAGAAGAGAAGAGAAGAGAAGAGAAGAGAAGAGAAGAGAAGAGAAGAGAAGAGAAGAGAAGAGAAGAGAAGAGAAGAGAAGAGAAGAGAAGAGAAGAGAAGAGAAGAGAAGAGAAGAGAAGAGAAGAGAAGAGAAGAGAAGAGAAGAGAAGAGAAGAGAAGAGAAGAGAAGAGAAGAGAAGAGAAGAGAGAAGAGAAAAAAGAAGAGAAGAGAAGAGGAGAGGAGAGGAGAGGAGAGGAGAGGAGAGGAGAGGAGAGGAGAGAGGAGAGGAGAGGAGAGGAGAGGAGAGGAGAGGAGAGGAGAGGAGAGGAGAGGAGAGGAGAGGAGAGGAGAGGAGAGGAGAGGAGAGGAGAGGAGAGGAGAGGAGAGGAGAGGAGAGGAGAGGAGAGGAGAGGAGAGGAGAGGAGAGGAGAGGAGAGGAGAGGAGAGGAGAGGAGAGGAGAGGAGAGGAGAGAAGAGAAGAGAAGAGAAGAGAAGAGAAGAGAAGAGAAGAGAAGAGAGAAGAGAAAAAAGAAGAGAAGAGAAGAGAAGAGAAGAGAAGAGGAGAGGAGAGGAGAGGAGAGGAGAGGAGAGGAGAGGAGAGGAGAGGAGAGGAGAGGAGAGGAGAGGAGAGGAGAGGAGAGGAGAGGAGAGGAGAGGAGAGGAGAGGAGAGGAGAGGAGAGGAGAGGAGAGAAGAGAAGAGAAGAGAAGAGAAGAGAAGAGAAGAGAAGAGAAGAGAAGAGAAGAGAAGAGAAGAGAAGAGAAGAGAAGAGAAGAGAAGAGAAGAGAAGAGAAGAGAAGAGAAGAGAAGAGAGAAGAGAAAAAAGAAGAGAAGAGAAGAGAAGAGAAGAGAAGAGGAGAGGAGAGGAGAGGAGAGGAGAGGAGAGGAGAGGAGAGGAGAGGAGAGGAGAGGAGAGGAGAGGAGAGGAGAGGAGAGGAGAGAAGAGAAGAGAAGAGAAGAGAAGAGAAGAGAAGAGAAGAGAAGAGAAGAGAAGAGAAGAGAAGAGAAGAGAAGAGAAGAGAAGAGAAGAGAAGAGAAGAGAAGAGAAGAGAAGAGAAGAGAAGAGAAGAGAAGAGAAGAGAAGAGAAGAGAAGAGAAGAGAAGAGAAGAGAAGAGAAGAGAAGAGAAGAGAAGAGAAGAGAAGAGAAGAGAAGAGAAGAGAAGAGAAGAGAAGAGAAGAGAAGAGAAGAGAAGAGAAGAGAAGAGAAGAGAAGAGAAGAGAAGAAGAGAGAGAAGAGAAGGAGGAGGAGTCTGGTTTGCAGGAGAGATGCATTTGTATGGGCTGAGAAAGGAGTAGCAGAAGGCAAGTCGCTGTTGCCCTGTGGACCAGCACTCCACCGGAGGGGCTGGTCCACCTCCAGTTGTCTGCAAGGCTGTTTGAACAGAGATGTGGGAAAACCTGACTTGGCTGAGCTACCAGTTTTCCCTCTGCAATTCGGATTTCGCCTCGTTCTGCTCTCCATCCCCCTAAGCTCTCTCTCCCTCTCCGTCCCCTCCAAACCACGCTCGCGGGGCAATTCCCAGCACCTCACTGCAGCCCACATCTTGGTCCCTACATCTCCTCCCAGCTTGGTGCTCTCCACGTCCCTTCCTTCCCTCCCACATGCTCACAGCTGCCTTTTCCCGTTAAACCAGCTGCCCCTCCTCATCAAATCCCAGTCCCTCATCCCTCTCACACCCAAGCCCTCTGACTAACAAATCCTGCTCTCTACAACTCAAAGGCAATTCTCTTCCCCTTCCCCCTCATGTTTACTCCATCTGCCAACATCTTCTCCCTCTCACCTATAGCCCCTTGCATTATTAAGCGCTGGGAAGCCACACGCTGGATTTGGGAGTCTTCCTCAGTACTACCAGCAACGGGGGAAGAGGTGCTAGAGGAGAAGGGACCAGTGGGAGGGCGGGAAGGGCAGATTCCTCCCTGCTCAGCCCCAGCGCCGCAGCTACGTGGCTTTGACTCCCACTGCCACATGCCTTCTACCACACCGGGCTTTTCTATGGGAAAGAAAGAGGTTTGAGCACGCTCACTGGAGATAAAACCAATGCAGATTTTATTTGGTATAAAACGAAGATATACACACATACCGAAACCACTTTTACTGAGCACATGCTAGCCATTTTTTACAAACGTTACTATATACTTGGTCAAATTAGGAGGCAGAGGTAAAAACAAAACACAGGGGGCATCCTCTACACAGAGGTCATTTCCTCTACCTGAACTGGAGTTCCTGTCCCAAAGCACTGAAGTGACAATTTCAAAGAAGCGTCTTCGAGAGCGTTCGGACATAGACAACAGACCACCACATCCTGACCCAGGGCTCCAAAGAACATGCACTGTCCTGACTGAAGCTCCCCAGACGCTTAAACCTTTAGCCCGAGATGGAAAGTCTCAGCCTACATACAGCTGAAGTTTGGCAAAGTTGGACAATTAGAAACAGGGCAACGAATTTGGAAGCGGGAGGGAAAGACCCGATTCCCGTCTACCAACACCACGGAACGGCGCTGCAGGTGCTGGAGGTCAGCAGCAGAGCTGAACGCCTCCGTGCTGGAAAGCAAGAATTCCACGGGACTCGATACCCAGACAGACTCCAAGTACTAAAAAGTCCATCAGCTTCCAGCCCGTTGTCCAGAGCCGGGGCTGCCAGAGGCACGCCTCAGCAACAAGCAACAGGTCCCGTAGTCGTTGAAACCCACCACCTCAGCGAGTTTGGATTTAACATTCGTCTCTTTAAACCTCAGGCAAGGGAAGGACAACCGGCCCCTCGCTCACACGCGCACAGCCAGCCAGGTGCTGAAAGCCTCTGCTAGTGCAAAGGTTTGCTTTGACATTCGGATCTTTCCCACCTCCTTCTCCACGGTGGCAGGGCTTGCGTCGAGTTCAGTCGGAATGGCAAAATAGCACCCAAGGTAGTCCTGGTGCTGCACGGCTGGCAGGGTGACTCCGAGGAACGACCTTCTTACCACCCTCGTCCTCCGGACACCATCGGGGTCGCAGCGGCAACTCTTCGTGTTCAAGAAAGGGACAGAACGTGCCGTCAGGCTCGCCGGCTCTTCGTGTTTCAGGAGCTCGGTTCCTCACTGGAATGCTGTTCAGCTGCATGACCATAATAAACCCAGCAGCTCTGCACTCTTTCTTTATCATCAAGTGGTGATACCGAGAACTTAATGTGGAAACTCGGAACTTTGCTTGGAGCACAGACGGGAGGGGGGGTGTGCTGAAATGACCCGTGCGATACTGAACTTGTTCAAGAAGTAACTCCACGACCGTTTGAACAGTTTTGTTAGATACTGCAAATGAGGGAGCTACTGAACTATTTCTGTTGTACCTGAAGTATGCAAGTCCATACCGTGGGTATCTACGCGGACGCTGTCAGTAATGTTCTAGGGAGTTAAAGTGTACTTTTTTAGCAGGGGGTAGGTATTTCTTGGCCCTGGAGTTTCAGCGTTTCTCACAAGTATGTCACCACAGTTGTTTCCCCAAAAGCAACAATTTAAATACAGATAGAATGTTGTAAGAGAGCAATTAACAATTCCGGCATGGAAATATCACAGCCTTTTATGTACAATTACAGTACTCAAGTTTCTGCTTCCCTTAAGGCAGACGCATGACGACCGCAAGTTAAGTAAAAACAGATGACAGAAGTGAGTCTTGTGAGCATTTGTCAGTTTTATTCCCATATCCCACTATGACTTTTGAATATATTAAAGTTGTTAATTCATTATATGTGATGTAGCACAAGTAGGTATTTTTCCCGAATCTCAGCCTGAACTCCTAAAACTCTGTGGCTCAGTCCCGCTCTCTGATTCTACGCCTGCCAAGTTCAGCTTGGCTATAAAATGTGTTTATTGTTCCCCCGCTTATCGTGCCATCCTCTGCTCTGAAAGACGTGGTTACTGTTTGGTTTTCTACGTCATATAACAGAACTGGGACTTTACTTCAAGGTCTCCGTTGAGCCCAGTAACAGTAAAAAAGCTGGTGACCGAGCCCTAAACGGCCAGCTGGTCTCAAAATGCCGTTTAACCTGGGTGTCAAGCTTTCAGCAAGCTCTGCCTGCTTCCAGAGACTTCTGCCAGTGAAACTCCACGCTGGTCATCCTAATCAGACCTGATTCTGTCTTTTCAGGTAAGTACCAATGCTGATATTTGACGGTACTTTTTATTTTTTTTTTCCCTTCAAGTTATGAGTTTCAAGGCCAACAGGTGTATGTTGTAAATGTATCCCGAACGATGCTTTCCAACACCATCAAAACACCTCGAAGAGAAAAATGGGATGCATTTGTTGGTGAGTCCTAGCTGTTCTCCTTAGGCGGGGGAATTTTCGAAAGCTTTCTAGTGACTGAAGAGCACACGCTGCAACACCTGCCACTGAGCCACCGCCCTCCAGTCCTAGATGCTCTTGCCCATCCTGCTCTAAGATCCCACTCGGGGCTACTTACTCCTTTTTCGCCTTTGGCTGTTCCCTGCAGATTGTTTTGAAGAGTCTTCTGATGATCTCAGGCGCCCTGACTGCAATCCACGAATTGCACTTGCTGCATTCTGTACACTTTGCCTAACAGAGCCCTTTTCACCATATACAAAAAACCCTCCAAGAACAGCTTGGGGTGAGAAAAAAATTGAATTAATCACTAACAAAGAGCAATTGTGTTAGTGAACAAGAGCAGCAAGTCTTGATACAGAAAATGCATGTATATCAAACATGGAAACTGCCTCAGAAAATACTAAACAATTTGCAAGTAGTGGATTTCTTCCCATCTATAAGCATCAAGTCAGGCTAGATGGCATCGCTTATTTCTTCAACGTGATGAACCGGTGTAAGGGAAACTAAGCACGGATTTCTAAAAACTTCTTATGAGATACATTTACCACCTGAAACAGCAAGATGAGATTCCCTGTCGAGGTGAAGCGAAAGCTTAACAGTTGCACCGTACAAATCTGTGACTGCAACTTGCTAAAAACAAATCAACAAGATATACTGGATTTTAATCTCCCATCCGACATAAGAAAATAAGTACCGTATTGTCTTTTGGCATGCAAGAAAAATCTCATTTCACTCCCAAACCTGTCAGTACAAGCCAGGCTGCGTGTAATCCCAGAGAAGCTTTCCAGAATAGGTTACCCGACACAGGTTATCATGGCGTTAATACAAATATTGTCCACCTATACAATTACCATTATTAAATACCACTAGAACACCCAGAGACAAATTTTGCTCTCTCAGTGCCTGTGAGAGAATACAGAAACATCCCTTAGATAACATGAAAGGTTATTCCAGCACAGAACGAGCCCCTGTAATCTTTACCTCAAGCAGAAACTGAAGGATGCAGAACTGTATGAAGCATGCCACCGTGAAATGGATAGATTTACTCAAAAACATTTTTTTGAAAATGACTACATTTTCTAGTCAGATAATGAAAGAAACCTGTTTCTTCTGCCAATGTACTCTCAGGTGGGATGGTCAAGGAAGAAAAAGAGCTAAAATAAATGAAGGTCCTAACTCACTGACGTGTTTTACAGCACAATATTCAGAACACAAAAACCTACAATGCAATTCAAATGTTTCCTCCAAGATAACGTAAAGTCTTTGAACAGCCTTTATTTCCAGCACTTTATATAAATATTGTTTTCTTCCTGATCCTGGATTATCCTCAATTTGAAGTTCATGTTCTCAGTCTGTATTTGAGGACTGCATGTAACATCCCTATAACCCTGGATACCCTCGTGGGGCTGTTTAAATGCTGCCAGACCATAATGGACTCAGAAGCAGCCTCCTAGAATTTACAATGCCGCATCCCTAAATTACAGTGGCACCTTCTATCCCCAAATTAAGAAATAAACAAAAAAAGGTACTCACAGGTGCACGCACACACACATATGCACACCCTTGTCATACAAGTTACAGGCTATCTACAAGAAAAATGTCGTTTTAAAATCCAAAATTAAACTGAAGTTTTTCTTTTTCTCTCTTTTTTTTTTTTTTTTTTTTTTTAATGCAAGCTTTTATTTGGGAATTTTGCGATTAATTTCTCTTAGCCTCTTAGGAAACATTTGCTTTTGTCCAAGGAGCTTCCAGCTGAGAGGATGTTATTGTTTGGAAGGGATGTGACCAGGAGGACCCTGTGCACGGCACAATGTGTCAGCCCGGAAGCGAGGGAAGAAAAGTGATTCTCTCATCATCTGGCTGAGAAAACAAAATGGAAATACCGAGTGTTCACCTTCCAGTTACAGTCACCCCTACGCGCGTCCCCAAGAAACGTGTTAGTCACCTGCATCTCGCACGAGTATCACCACCTAACTGTATCAAGAGATTAAAAAAATTCTTCCTACTTAAAAAAAAAAAAAAAAAAAAAAGCATTACCCATTTCTTTAGAAAAGCAACGATTTCTGCCACAAACACCTCCGAAAGCGGGTGACCGCTTGCCCCGCTGCCCCCCCCACCCCCCGCCCGGCCCCGCTACCGGCCCGGGAGCGGGCGGGACGAGCCCCCCGGTACCCCCAGCCCCCCCCCCCCCGGTACCCCCAGTCCCCCCCCGGTACCCCCAGCCCCCCCCGGTACCCCCAGTCCCCCCCGGTACCCCCAGCCCCCCCCGGTACCCCCAGCCCCCCCCCCCGGTACCCCCAGCCCCCCCCCGGTACCCCCAGCCCCCCGGGGCCGCGTTCCTCAGCGCCGGGGGACGGCGACGCTCCCTCGGCAACACCTTCCGAGCCCTCTAGTTCCCCGCCGAGCGCCTTCACCCGGGGAGATTTTTAAGTGGTTTTTAAAGTGGGTTTGGTTTTTTTTTTTTTTTGGGGGGGGGGGAGGTGGGGGGGGGGGAAGGGGGCACGACGCCACGGACGGACGCCACACCCGCGCGTGTGCCCGCCGTCGCGGTCCCACGTTACAAGGGCTCCGAGCAAGGGCAGCTCTTCCCTAAACCCGTCGAGGTAAAAAAAAAAAACTCGCGGGTACCCCCACACACACCACCCACCCCCCCCCCCCACCCCCCCCCCCACGCGGAGCGCAGCCCCGCGGAGCCCGGCGGCGGCGGGGCGGGCGGGTCCCCGAGGTGCTGCCCCCCACGCGAGACCGGGCGGGTTGGCGGCCGCCGGGGCCGCTCCGGGAGCCCCGGGGGGGGGTGTGTGTGTGGGGGGGGGGTGTGGGGGGGGCACTACCGGGCGTCGCCGCCGCTGAGGGGGTAGGCGAGCAGGCTCATGGCCTCGCCGCAGGCGGCTTCCACTTGCCGCACTTGCTGGCGGCTGAGGCGCTCCCGCCACGCGTGGATGGCCTCCCGCGCGTCGCGGGCGGAGATGAGGAAGGGCCGGTCGGAGGAGTAGGCGGTGCCGCGGGTCATGTTGAGCACGAAGGCCTCCAGGGCGGGGGGCACCGGCAGCCCGGCGAAGCGCAGCAAACGGCGGAGCTGGGCGCGGGGTTCCCGCACCAGGTCCTCGTAGCGGAGCTGCGTGTAGCGGCGGCGGAGCCAAGGCGGGGCGCGGCCGGCCAGCAGCAGGTCGCGGAGCCAGGCCTGGCAGATCACCTCCAGGGCGCCGCCGAGGAAAAACTCGGCTCGGTGCTGCGGGGGGGCAGCCCGCCCGCCCAGCAGCCCGGGCGGCAGCAGGAGCTGCGGCTGGCGGGGCGCCCCCCGGGGCTCGGCTCGGTGCCGGCTGCGCAGGACCTGGATGCTCTCCCGCAGCAGCGCCTGCCGCGCCTTCAGGCGGGAGTTGTGGACGGCGCGGGGGTCGCGGAAGAGCTGCACGACCCGCAGGTTGAGGCCGGGTTCCCGCAGCAGCGGCAGCAGGGCGCCCAGCTCCAGCAGCCGCACGTCCTTGATGACCACCACCGGGTACTTGCGGCACTCGGCCTCCAGCTCCCGCAGCGCCCGCGGCGGGCACGTCTCCTCGCAGGCGGCGCCGTCGACGAGGCCGATCTCCCCGCGGGGCCGGGGGCCGGCGGGGCAGAGCGGCGGCGAGCAGATCACCTTGTTGGTTCGCCAGCCGAAGATGCCGGCGGTGGTGAGGTTGGCGGGGGGGGGGCCGGCGGCCAGCGGGTCGCGGGGGCCGGGCGGGGCGGCGTAGAGGCGCAGGACGGAGAAGTCGCATCGGAAGAGGGCGCGCAGCATGTCGCGGAGGGCGCCTTGCAGGCTCAGCGCGTCCCCCGGGTAGAGGGCCTGCCACAGGTGCCACATGGGCTCGTAGAGGTAGAAGACGTCGGGGTGCTGGTTGAAGAGCTCCCCCAGGAAGGAGGAGCCCGTGCGCCAGGTAGCGTGCAGGTAGATGTGCCGCTTCCCCGCCGCCGCGCTGCCGTTACCCGCCGCGCCGCCCTCCCCCCCCCGCCCTTCCTCCTCCTCCTCCTCCTCCTCCTCCTCGTCCTCTTCCTCGTCCAGCGGCGGTTGCCGCTGCTCCCAGCCCCACTCGCTCAGGGCCTCCTCCAGGCTGGGGCAGCGCCGCAGCAGCGGCTCCTCGTCCGCCCTCCCCCGCCGGGCCCCGTAGTCCAGCGCGTAGGGCACCAGCAGCAGCAGCACCAGCGTGTACAGCACCAGCACCGCGGCGAACCGGCGGTGCTCCCCCCTCCACCGCCACCGCCGGCGGCTCTTCATCGCGGGTGGGGAGGGGGGGGGGGGGGGGGCCCGGCTCCCGACCGCCGGGGCTCCGCCGAGCCCTCTCTCTGCCGAAGAGGCAAAGTTAGCGGCGGGGGGGGGGGGGGGGTGTGGGCTGCCGGCGGCCCTCCCCGCCGGGGAGCACGCCCACGGGCACGCCGGCCGGGCTCGGGGACCGCCGGCCCCGCTGCCCGCCCTCACCGCCTCCTCCTCCTCTTCCTCCTCCTCCTCCTCCTCCTCCTCCTCCTCCTCGCAGCGCGGCGCGGAAGCGCCCGCACCTGCCCCCGCCGCTGCGCGGGGCTCCGGACCGCCCGTCGCCCGGCCTCCCCCCCCCCCCCCCCCCCGATCCCTCCCTCTCCCCCCCCCCCGATCCCTCCCTCTCCCCCCCCCCCCCGATCCCTCCCTCTCCCCCCCCCGATCCCTCCCTCTCCCCCCCCCCCCCCCCCCGGGCAGGGCCGGAGGGGCGGGCTCGGCACGTCGGGAGTCACCCCCGCCCGGGAAAAGGGGCGCACCGCCGAGGGGGGGGGGGGGGGATGTCACCCAGCGCAGGTACCGCGTAGCGTTCGGGCCCGATGAGCTACCCCATCTCCAGAGAAAGAACACGCTCCGGTAACGAAAAGAGGCGCAGATGTGTTTCTGGGGACGGATGGCAGCTCTTAAAATCTGCAGCGGGGCTTCAGCGATCCTGCAGCTCGGCGCCGGAGAGAGCTGCGGGGTCGCTCGGCCGCGCTTCTGCCCGTGGGCGTGCGCCGGCGGGATGCGGACATCGCCTGCAGGACTCCTTGCTCCAGGTCAGGCATCGGAAAGTTTCGTGCCTGCCTTGAGCTGCTCACCCTTCGCAGTTCGTAGGGAGAAACGGGCACCCACAGAGGGTCAAGCAACCTGTCTTGAATGTCTGATAGCATTCTGATAACCCTCCTCTTTATTAACCGCCACAGTGGGAGCGTAACGTTACCGGCTCACGCTTAGAATCCTAGGTTTTTCAGACATCCAAGGTTAGCTCAAATATTTTGCGGGGTGGAAAGTCAACAAGAGGTTGTCTTCGGGTGTTTAAATTCAATTGTTTAGTCTCAAAATCTCCAGCCCCGCCCCTGCCTGACCTTGGAAGATGCTCACAGAAAGCGATGGACCGCGGTCCGATATTCCAGGTTGAGGCATCCGCCTGGCAGGAGAGTGATGTCCCCAGCCTGCTGACTGTGCGGCGGGGGCTGCTGCCTGTCCTGTCCTGTAGCCGATGGATGGCATCCTCAGGAAAACACAGCTAATATTCACGTAGGGCGTGCAGAGTGAAAATCGGTGAGGATACCGCAATTTTCACCCTCGTTGTGCGATGCTCTGGCTCCCAGAATAGTCCGCGCCGTGTGTGTGTACCTGTGGTGAGGCCCATGGCACAACCTCCGTCGACGATATCACAACAGGGCGCAGAAATGACCCACTAATTACATAAGCTCTAAAAATGCTCCTTCTCTACTATAGACATCCAGATACAGAGCCTGCAGCTGCTGCACATAGTCTGAATGTCTAGCTGCGACAGAATAATCTCATTTTGAATTTATCGGGCAAAATACCCTCGTATTTTGCACAAAGCAGTGTGAGAGGAAAAGCATGCTTCTCTTCTGTCCAGGTGGCGAGCCAGCAGCCTGCCTGCTAACACTTTACTTGACCTCCGTTAAGTAAGTGTTAAAGACTGGGCTTCCTGCAGTTTATGGAGTGCTGAGTGAGTAGACAGCGCCAAACAAGGCTTGTAGGCTCTTGAGTAGAAAAATGTAGGAATTATGGCATTGGAAAGGAAATTCTGCCCCAACATACATTTCACTGCTTATATTCATTGTGGCTTTAGGCTTTTTTAAACAGCAAGGTAGGCCAGTATGAGTTTCAGCTCTGACCTTGTAAAGGCCAGGATTTCATCCAGACCCTCAAGCACCTAAACGAGGACAACAGAATAAAAACACACTTGCCAAAACCCTTCCCTTCCCCTGTCTGAAGAACACGCCTCTCTAGTGTCTCGAGAGGTATCTCCAGTGTAGTTGACTTCTGTGGCATCATGCAAAATGGTAATTTTGGAAAACTTACCAAGACGGGATCCTGAGAAGTGCAGATGAAAGTGGGCATCTCAGCTGCGGGGGTTTCCCCTTTGTAAGACAAAATACTGAGCTGGCAGTAGCATCAGCACCATCGCTGACAAAGGAGCCACGGTCCAATATTTGTTACCTGCAACTAGTTTTGCATTGGTTTCTGTGGCACATACTTGTCTAAAAGCTAAAATCAAGGTCTTAAAACTGCCTAACTGAAGTAAAGCTGTCTTGAAAAGAATGAAACAAGTCACAGAGCAAGACGGCCTGCAGACAAATGAGAAACCATAGGAATAAACCTACGTACGTATTACGCTGATTTTTTTCAGACAACAGAGTTACAAGCTTCTGTGGCAACTGTTCTGGAAAAAGCGCAAGATGCAAATCGCTTTACCACAGGCTACATCCTTACTAAGATAAAAACACAGTCAGTTCTTAAAAGAATCAAAATAATTCAAAAGAAACAAAGAAGGATCACAGTGAGTGTTTTGTTCTGCACCTTCACGTCGGTTGCTCTACTGAAAGAGGATTAGCCTGTGTGCGTTTGCTTCGGCTGTTTTGGGTTAGGGCTTTTTTGGCGTGGGGAGATTCCAGCAGAGCCAATATTCATTCTGCCACCCAGCAGGTGCCTGAGCTGGGCTTGAAATCGCCGAGCTCCAGCCTTCCTGAGGGGCCACGTGAAGCACCCCGTTCCAGCGCTGGGGAGCCGATTGCTGCTCTGAATTGGAGCTGGGCAGGGATGGGCTTTGGCTTTTCTCGCGTTTCAGTTCCGTGTTCATTTGTTCTCTCCTCAGCACAGATAACGGGGATGATTTTTCCCCCATTTAGGCTTTGCCTGTGAATCATAAAGGCACCGTTTGCAGATGATCTCCCGCATCTCCTTCTGAGAGCAGGACGGTTCAGTACCCAAGCGAGGCCGCCAGGTTCTTCTTCACTGATCTGCAAAGCGGCCTGCCCATTTGGCACCTAGTTCCTGCCATTTCTTGGTGCTAATTCAGTGCTTTATGTTATTTTAGAAAGGGTGGGAAAAAAGAATATAGGCATAACGTGTTCTGCATGGTTTAGTGTAGCAGTATTTCCTTTCTAGTTTCCAAGCTTGTCACTGAAAGCACTGGCTGTTTTTAATCTAACATAACACTGGCTTCCTGTGTATTATCTCTCTAACTTAATTTTTGCTCTTCCGTCTCCCACGGTACTTCTACTGTCAAGAGAGACAGTAAATGCTGGAACGCCGTGTTTGAGCCTCAGAATCATTTTCATCTTCTCAGCAGAGGTTTCAAAATAGAAATAGTTGCCTCTACATCTAGCCCTTTTTCAGCTCTCGCATGCTCTTGTCATTTTCAAAGAGCGCTTTGTGATTAAAAATAGCTTGATTAGCTGATAAAATTAAATATGCTTTGCACAGGGAGTACTGCCCTCAAACATCCTGGCTTCTAATGAGCGCTCTGCTTGCACATATTGTCACTCACAGGCTTCAGCCAAAAGGAAGTCTGTGGTTAATGGCAGCTTAGAAAGCTTCAAGAAGCTGACAAACTAGGACAATGTTTTTATTTTTGAAGCTGCCTTGTCATCAGATGTTTCGACGACGTGCAATACCATATGTTTCACATGTGAGACCAGTCTTAGTAGCTCACATTTCAGAAGGGACATGTTGAGAATAGCAGGATGGAGAAGCTGGTCCCGGCGCGGTGGCTGACGCAGAAGGGATTTTTCGCAGTGGTTTCCCCCGAAGTGGAACAGAGATTGGGGGCCTGCAAAAGGTCAGAAATGTCACGTTAAGTTTTGAGAGACTTGGTGGAAATTTAGAGGATCTGAAGAAAGTGGAAAGTCAGACAAAAGGGGAGGAGACTTCTAACTCAGGGGCTGGTCATCGGCCGAGTGGAAGGGGCTTCAGATGCGAAGCAGAAGGGGGTAATTCTGCTCTCAGCACATACCTCTGAGATCACTCTTCAGTACCTGCAAGAATGGCGAGGAAATGGGGCGGGAAAACTGATGTTCACGACTGTCTTGGTCTGTGTACTCCTTCTGCTAGATAAACAAGTTCAGACCTCTGAGTCTGTGGCTTGGTTTGAGAGAAACCGGGTGTACAGCTTCAGGTTTTGGTTAATATAACCAATTAGTCGTACCACCCAGTGGCTCTCTGCAGAAGAGCGGGGGCAGCGGCAGGGTGCAGGACCCCTCGGTGCCCCTCCAGACTGCGGGCAGCTGGCGGTTGAGACTGGGGACTGTGTGGAGTTGGAAGGGAGGAGGCGTGTTCCTCACCTCTCTCTCCCAAATTTCTCCAGTTGCTCCTAACCGAGAACTGGTAAAGTTAACTCTAAAGTCAGGCGTGCTGCTGCTCTGCCCTGCCCCACGTAAGAGCCAGGCCCAGAGCGTGAGCTGGGGAAGTATTCAGATGAAGCCAAAACCAGCCCTGCGCCCTGATTTTGGGCTAAGGGAGGCTTGATAGCCCAGTCCAGTGTCACTGAACCGGCTGCAGCAGCCTGACAGGTACCCAGCTAGGGGAGCTCTTCTCTGGCTGAGAGAAGCGCGTACATTTTGGTTCCACTTCTGATTTTCCAAGAGGAGGCTTTTCCAAGAATGTGGGAGCTGGGTACTGAAATGACAAAAAAAGCCCCCAGACAAACAAACAAACAAACAAACAAACAAAAACGAAAGCAGGAGTTTTTATAAATTGAAATCATGGTCCCTTTTATGTCATCAGTGATCTTGTGATGGTCCTTGTTACATGATCAGTGATCTTCTGAGCACCTCTAACTTCCTCTCAGAAAAGAGTCATAGAACCATAGAATCACAGACTGGTTTGGGTTGGAAGGGACCTTAAAGATAATCTAGTCCCAACCCCCCTGCCCCGGGCAGGGCCCCCTTCCCCCAGCCCAGGGGGCTCCCAGCCCTGTCCAACCTGGCCTTGAACCCTTCCAGGGAGGGGGAACCCACAGCTGCTCTGGGCACCCGGGGCCAGCGCCTCACCCCCCCCACAGGGAACAATTTCATCCTTATATCTAATCTGAATGTACCC